TCAACTCGTGTCTTTTACCTATTTTTCTTTACTGCTCACCCTTATTCCTTCCTGGATTGCTTAAAAACGTCTATGTCATACTTCGTCAAACTCTGAAGACTGTCAGTAGTACGAGTGGTATCTCATTGGGCCATATCGTTGACACCGTCACTGATAGGCACTTGATTTCATGCAACAGATACGCTAGAGGAATTTTGTCAGACTCTGAGCACCCACCCTATCCGCAGCTCAAACCTTGTGTCTCCTTAGGTAAAACAAGAAGTCTTTTCAGAAGAATTTATGCATGTACGTCTAAGTATAATATACCATATTTAGCACATACTTTAAGTGATGAAAGTAGTGTCAGGCATGAACTAACCAACCTCCTTTGCATGGATGGATGAATTTATATAACTATCTTTGTTCGGTATTGTTCTCAAGGATGGATGGATTGTTTGTGCAGAAGAACACATAACCATGCGATTCACACAATTATCATTTGGCATATCCAGTAGGCTAAGCGCAAATTTTGGCTAAGGATGGTATTTTAGAGGCTAATTACGTTGAAGTTCAGGGATAGCACGATGTATACCAACCTCAGAATCTTATATTCACAACTCCCTTAGTATTCGTTACGCGTTGAATATGGAAAAAGCAAGACACCGGATTGATTGTGGAGAATGTGGAGAATATTTCGGAACCAAACTCGCTGTTGTATTTTTAGAATTTTGAATATATTTGTGCGTTGAAGTTTTAGTAGCAATTTGGTTAAGTTTTGGGGGTGGAGTTGCTAGCACCACGCCCCAACCCTCCCTCTTTATCCGGGCTTGGGACCGGCTAGAATACTAGTGACCTAGTAATCTAGGCGAGGTTGGATGTGATTGGTTAAGTAGCTAGGTGTCGTGTACGGGCAACCGAACGTAACATGATGACATGCCAGATGGTGTGAATACTTGGCCGCGAGCCTTCAAATAAACAAATTGACTTAGACAGTGAGGGTCAGCATTCAGCACTGGGTGATGAATGCTGTGGCTAATTCTTTTGTCGAATCGCCTGCTTCCACAGTATATAACGAAAAATACTGATGCAGTAGTCAATTTAAATAACTCTCCGGGAAATTTGAAAGAGATACTTACGTGAAATACTGATGCATAGAAAATAAAATCATCAAAAATGTTATATTTCTAAAGTAATTTGCAAACGAACAGCTACAGATATACATTCAGAAGAAATGGCAACTTTTTATTCATTTAAGCTATATCTTGATGAATAATTACAAAGAAGTAACAGGAAATGGGAATGCACAGATAATTGAAGTCAGCTGACTAGTATATTCATATCTTGAATTAAAACTAAGTCAGGCGGGGCAACTCGAAGATGACTGTTAGGAAGTCTACTGAAACTACTGTAACAGCAGAAGGCAAGCCACGGGAGTCAAGGTATATTTTCAAGTGACCAAATAGCTATTTATATCACTATATTTTAAATTCTTTAACCAATCACTGAGCGTGTGATTTCGGTTTATATTGAACGACATGAATTAGAATGTTCAAATACATATATTGTTCTGTTGCTAATGCCGAATTGAACTGTGGGAATATCATTCAGACGTTAACGTCAACAAATACAATGGTTCTTACTGTGAGAATAATGTTCCTCTGTAACTCATGTTGGGTGATTCGAATACATCAGAATAAGTGTGTTGAAATACTGGTTCACTCATAATCATGTCTTTTGATTAATTTATTGACATCTCGTTTACTTTTCTATTTGAATTACTAAATAAAGGTGAACATCCCTTGAAGTTTCTTTGTAAAATATTATCTTTCGCAAAATAAAGTAAATGTGCTTGCACCAACAAGAAAATTTTCAGATTGACAAAGCATTTTGAGTCGTCTTTCCTACTACCACAACACAAGCTGACTCACCGTTTATAGCTACTGACGAAGTAAAAATAGGTCTATTAAATACAGTAGGCTTCTAGATGTTGTTGTGTACCAAGATACAAAAATTATGTACATAAGTTTATAAGTTTGGACCCATGAAATTAACAAGAGACGAAGTGCTTAAAGATCTCAGTCACTTTATTTTACTATATGTTCCTTTATTAGTGTCAACCAACATGACGCCTGTTAAGATATGTGAGGCAAGATCACCAGTTAAATGAAAATTCACTTAGCATTCTTTAAAACTACGTACACTCCGTAATTAAAGGCAAAGTAGGAGGCTCACCAAGTCACTACGCATATGAAAAGTGGGTTTACAGCGGAGGGTCGATTGAAAGAAATGTCTTCTTGAAATAACCTAGGGTATACATGAAATGACACACGTATGCATATATGCAGGTGCGTCTCTTTAGGCTGTCGCATTACACCAGCCTTTCGTTCTCATGATTCACAGTGGCACTTCCATACTTCGCGAATGATTAGTTCATAAACTGTAATTGTGTCAGAAAAATTTCTGAACACCAGCGATACTTTGTTGGCTTCTGGTGCCGTGTTACACTCGAATTACTGAGTTAACTGATAAATTCCACCTTTAATAATATCTGTACAACTGCTCTTATTTGAAAAAGTATTTCGTAGACCACTGTACTGGGCAGAAGTATCGGGATTTATTGGACGTATTTTCGAAAAGTGTTACAACGAGAACAACTTATTTCGTATACATAGGCATGTATGAGCGCAATGATAAAATAGTGACGAACGGTTGTCATAATTATTGTATTCATTATATGAGGAATATTTTTACAGGTTTACCTCACAGGAACATGTACAACTTTTGCATGCCACTGCATCAGCATACTAAGTGTAGTGCAATCTTATGCAAGCTAATTCAAGGCTTTGCATCTACAACTTTGTGTGATGCAGATACACCGAATGGCTCATTGTAGACAATGTATATAACACCTTATGGAATATCTACGAAGATTGATGACCTGAGATGAGGGAGGCAAAAGTTAAACAATTAGGAGATACGTTGTGATGCTTACGGTAAGTAATTAAGATAGGCGTGCTACAGGAATAAAAAATGTTAATCATCTCATTCACTTCGATTCTTCCACGTCAAATGCAATTCCATATGGGCCTACACATTTTCTTCCAGACTCCCAGACAGCGTTGTCTTATTGCGATTAAGATGATAAACTTTCACGTATGAGCCCAATTTATGTTTGTAAAATCGGTTTCATATGGAAGCTAAATCTTTCCTCAAAATAAATTCTGTTCAAAACACAGCTTTACTAAAATGTTTCACGGTGTGATCATGGTGATAATCCTTAGTGCTTTAAAACAAAGAGTGGACTGTGTTTCGCGTGTGAAAATAAAAGATAATGCTGAAATCATGCGATAGATGCTTACAACCAGTGAACACAATAGCATTTTATTAAATAGGACAAGTAAAGTAGCATGATGTAATGGGAATGCACAAATTCACGTTTAACCTTTGAACCTACTGCCTCCTTTATTCTACTAGACTGCAATATTTCCTGCCACAATCGCAGCATATGTAGCGGAGTTGAAGTGCATCATAAAGGAGAATTTTTAATGACAAATTTCACTAAAAAGTCATGTATACAATACAACTTATCATTAAACTATCACAGCTGTGAACAAAAAAGCTACAATTAGTGGGGTGATACTCAGTCAAGCCAGTAGAGTAATGACATTGTTGACACACTTAATGAGGTTTCTCAAAGTATCTCCAGTGGTCTAAATGTTTCAGTGCTGACGGAAACTTTCCTAAAGGAACTAGGCCTACCCATTGTGATCAGTATTTATGATAGTGGTGAAGTAGATCAAGGTTCTGCCCCTACCTCTCAGGACATCAACATCTGAATCATGATAAAAGGATATTTCATATGTACTACATTGTTTTGTCAGACGTCTCACAGGCCGAGATGCTCCACACTGTTGGCTGTTCAAACTTCAAGTCTGATAAAATCATCCATATATCCTATATAACCTTTTGGTTTATCACCTGGGTGTGCTAGAGCATACCCCTCTCATCTCAACTGATTATCAAATTTCAGCTTATTTCTACAATTAGTAACTCTTTCTTGCCTAAAGCCAGTCGTGCAGCACCAATAATAGCTTGCTCATGCCATGTTGTATGATGTATGTTGCAGTTAGTCGAACTTAAATTATTATTCTGATGGTCAAACTTTAACAGTCAGACCGTTGGTAGTGAGCCTCATGCCATCCAAAAGCATGTATCTGCTTTGCTATAATGCATGTCATTTTGGTACCTGTGGTAACCCTGTCTATTATCATGAAATTGCACTTTTATAAAAAGTTCGATCATTAGTTAATCACCCAGTTGTAATAAACTCAACATTCTTGCGGAGGACATTATATGGACTGATGACGTACTTTATCGGTCCTGACAAGCAGCTGTATACCGCTGCTATTTGAGATAATATATGCGTTAGAAGCTGGGCATACCTTGTAGATTTAATACTTCTAACCGACCCAGTGAGTAAAAACACATCGCGGAATTAGTGAGGATTCAGTCATTTTGGATGAAAACTTCGTGTGGTAATCAAAGCACCATAGAAGAGAAAGTGCAATCTATCCATCATATTATAGAGAAGACGCTAAAAAGGCGTGATTTTCACTATAATAATTCTAGTCAGTTCAGTGGGTTTCTATACTTCTCAGCTATTCAACTCAGCACATATAGTGACCGGGATTCTGCCACAGTGACCACCATTCCACCAGGATTTTTCGGAATATATCTACCTTTAAGCTGCGTAGTATCACTTCTAATGATACTACGGCTACTTTGAGGTTGTGACCGGATTAATTTAATCTCAAACCCAGTTTCTTAAAATTAGGCTTGAATATGATTTTCCGGTACACGCCTTGGATTTCGCCAATACAGTATGTCCTTTAAAGAGTTTTTGTGTTTTCCAAGAATAATAATTGAAGTACTTCATTAGCGACGAATATGACTGATTTGTAAACTCGAACTGTTACAGTAACTCTATGCTTACATTATTTGTTTAAATACATCAGTTATTTGCACAGTCCTTAGGGTTTTGTTGGCGCTGGGTTCCGTATGATGCCGAAACCATTTTATTATTTGCCTGGAAATCTGAACCGCTAAACTCCATTTCCTATGGCAGCGAAGTCGAAAAAGCTTTTGAAAGTTATAGATGGAATTCGTTCGTGGAATATTAGCTCATGTCAGTCCAGTAATTCAACGAAGTCTGCAATTGACATAGAAGAATACCTAAAGAGTGATCATTTCCAAGTCGGAAAGGTAATTTTTCTCTCGAATTTTTAATATAAGCGACATTTTTTCTTTGTGTTGTTAATATCCTACAATTTTTGCATTCTAGATATCTTCACATGGTTTTCCTTACCAACCGACATGTATCGCTTTCGACCCAGTGCAGCGAATTATTGCTGTTGGAACGAAGTCTGGGTGTATCAGAATGTAAGTTGCTCACAATGAAATTTAATACTCACATAGTTTTGGAAGACCAGGAGTGGACTACAATATATGTCACCCGTCAGCATCTTCTGTTTTTCAGATATTTTTCCTTGTTAATGAGGTGAGTTCGACGTAATTATTAAACATACGCAACTTCTAAAATTTTTTCTCGTCTGAACTAAATGAATGGCATTCGTTTACTAGGTTTTACTGGCTATAAGTTATTCTTATATGTTTCTTTGGGATGTCAGATTATATGTGGAACGGTGTTTACATAAGTAGAAAATGTACTTATCTAACGTTTTCAGATGGCAGTCAATTTGGGCTTTTGTAAAGTTCACGTTCGCATACAAGATAAATACATAACAAGCGGCTTGCAAGTAGGGTCGACGAAGGATAATTTTGGCCGCATTTTGTCTTTTAAGTTCTAACAGTCTGAATTGAGTTTTACACTAACGACATGAAATGTACTGGTTATCGGCAATTATAAATACTAACGCAGTAGTGTAAGTTAGATGTACAATCATTTTGATGTCCCCATGGGCACCGAATAGCAGTATTTATCTCTGAATACAAAAATGACAATTAAGGAGGACAGCAAGTGTTTACTTCTGGAGTTTATAATTTGTTATTATTTGTTTTTTATTGATTTAAGTGTAATTAATTGGCCTAGTAACTATCTTACAGCGTGATTAGTTCTAGTTACGGCGTATTTTTTTTAATAGTGTAGGATGTGGAGCCCACTATTGATAAACGTGCAATTTTAATGAAAACTTTATTTTTAATTCATAAAGGGTGGTCTGGTTTCCATATGTGGTGATGACGTTGCTCATTTATGGAACATAAGGCAGAAGAACCCGGAGATAGTTCATTCTTTGCAGTTTAAGCGTGAACAGTAAGTGATTTGTGTATTTTACTAAGTTCATCATGAATTGACAAAAGTATTATTATATATGACATGGTGAAGTAAGTTTAAGTAGGGTTTAATTATAATACACCAGATCAACAAATTAAAGTGATATTGTGACCTGTAACCATGGTTTAACTTCTCGGTAGATATGTCTACAGTAAATTATACCACTGACTTTTTTATATCCCTGCATCCTGAATGTCTTCGGAAGTTTAGTGCCCTTGAAGTTCTATGATTTAATTTCATCTGGTTTTCACTGGTTTCTTGCCGTATCTTCTTTCCATCACTTTTCAATAAATCCCCACTTTCCACACCAATAATTCGAATGTGAGCGTAACTTACAGTGTTTTGATACAATAATTACATAATATGTGGTGCTGTTGTAGAATACCTGACCCTATGCTTCCGAGAGCACATAAAGGCTACCAAAAGTAATTGGGGAGACTAGTAGAATGAATACAGTACTGTTTATTTTCGAAACTAAGATGTAATAAAGCAAGATCGATCTTTCGTTATGCTAAGTAAATATATCAAATTATCATTCATCTGCACTGTGTGCGTATAACTAGATTAGATGGCTGTCATTTATTTGCTTTGTTTTTTCAATGAGTTATAATCCCCTGAACATCAATGCCTTTATTGTCGCTTCCTAATTTCAAGTTTGACAAGGGTTAGATATAATTTTCGTCATCATTTCATCTGTTTTTCCTAAACGTTTGCTCTTAATTAGCAGAAAAAAACTATCTATTAAAAATCTTGAATATCTCTTCTAGTTCTTACTTCTAAAATATTCTCAATTTTTCTAGGGCTGAAGCTTTTCAGCTCTGAAACTCAATGACCGCTTAATTGCGTTTTGCTGATATCGGTTTCCGTACAGTGCTACTGAGCCTCATTCTTCGTCAGTTTCTTACAATCCTCTCATGCATGAAAATGGCTTTAGCAGAACTACTTTTTATGTCTCTGAGCCGTAGTTAGCAGGGGCTCGCATAAATAATTATTACAATCGATCACCTAAATTCTTACCGAAGTGTTTTATATTACGCTTTACGTATATCTCACTTCATATTCTATAGCAATTTTCGTGCTATAATTAGCAATTGACTTATCAGAAACGTATTGTTCTATGCATGTCTATAAGTCACCATTTTGCACTTGATTATCCTTAAGTTGGTTTCACCTGTTAAAGTTTGATCAGGTGGGTGTGCTGCTATTAGCTTTATCATAAAACACTTCTCATTCCTCTATACAATGATGTATACAGTTGCTGAGATATATGTTTATTATTGGGATTATTATTTTAAATACCTTATGAAAAACTAGATCTATTAGATTGGTCGTTGGCAACGAAAAATAATAATTAAATATAGTTTTAAAGTATTAGGTATTGGGATGGTGTTTGATTTTTCTGTCTGCTTGTTACAAAGTGGCTTTTATATAATTGAGCGATTTTTTGGCTGGGATAATGGGCTTCAATTGCACCAACTGGACTTAATTGTTTCATGGTTGAGCTAATAAAAGTGTAGAAGCAGTCAGTTTAAATGCATTCTATCATAAGATTATAGATAGTTTTTACTGTCCTCTTTCTATATGTAGTTAGACTACACTTTTAGCAGATGAAAATATTGAGCTAGTGGGTGTTCGTTATTCTTCAAGTGCAAAACAAGGCAAAAATGTAGTTTAGAAGTTTATCCTTCATGTATTTTTCATTTGTTTAAGTAATTAAAACAATACCTTTCATGTTCACACCGTATGGGGGTATGGTATATCAAGATTCGCAAAACTGCAGTTAGCAGGGATTCAGGTTATGCTCTTATGCTCCAATATAGCGGTGTACTGCGTAACCATTTAGTTAGTCCCCAGTGTTACAGACATAGTAACTTTGCTAACGCAGATAATAAAAAACTATGTACTGTTTCAAGTGAGAAAACGCTGTTTGCAAATTGATATTTCTCGGTGTTATGGTAGCTAATTCTTAAGGTCTACTTAGTAAACACTAGATAAGAGAGCGACTACTTTTATGATAAGTCGCTATTCATAGATTCATCCACTCACTGTTAGTTTAAGTTAGTGCAATTTAATTTATTTTTTGGTGAACCATATCAGCAGAAATGTCCACTTTCATTACAAAATTTCGGACTAAGAACTTTATTTCATGGTATTTTTTCTGTTTGTTAGTGAAGGTTGGTGGAGGATTTTGCTGCTAACTTCATGATATCAATCTCAAAACCGAAATACTAAGTGAGTTTGTCCAGAAAAACGGATGCTAGTAACACATAACCTGCAACTAGTGTTATTGCTATTATTATCATCATCAATGTAATGGCAGGCCGTCAAAGAAAAAATGGGTGAAAGTCAAGGTTAATTTAAGATAAAAAGTACTTCCTTCACAGATAACTTAAGAACGAGATACCCTAAGCTTTTATGAGGCTGTCAGGCAATATAGTGACATTTTCACTGTATACAAATGTATGATGTTAAATATTACGTTTACTGATTAAAATAGTGTGATTTGTGTGTAATGATATCTTAAGTTCAATGTGCTTAGTGGAATTAGGTAGTTACTGCCACACAAAATATTCAGGTTATAAAAAAACAACTATCTATGCATTGTATTACGTGATTGTCTAAAAGGATTGAAGTAAATAGAAATTTATACAGTTATTTGGAAGTCTTTAGCCTTGACACTTCTCTTACGTAAATACAGCAGTACTCGTAGTTGAATATGAACATCTTCCATTACTAATACCCTATTTGTTTCGGGTGGATCTTAAGACTACTGGAGTAGACCTTAGTTATCTCTGTTTTTAAATCCACGTAAACGCGACGTTTATTGGCAAAATGCCCGACTGTTTAAAAATGACTACTACAGTGTAATTGATATAAAAATAGAACTTGTGCACTGTGGTAGAGTATAATTCCATTATGGGTAAAATTTATTTTGATAAAGTCTCACAGTGTTATACGGTAATATTTACCGATGACGTTTCGAGCACAATTTATTGCTCATAATCATATCAAGGTGAAATGATACGATTATGAACAATAAATTGTGCTCGAAACGTCATCGGTAAATATTACTGTATAACACTGTGAGACTTTATCAAAATAAATTTCATCCACAATGGAACTACTATAGTGTAACTTTTACGCAAGTAGTCAAATATTACACAGTTCATCCTCACTGGTTTCATTTTAACGTAACTTCATATGTAATATTCATTTTTCAATAAAGAAAGAAAGATCAGATTTGCAGTATAAAATGATATCATTCTCTTCCGCAGGTTCTCATCACTTGGAAGCTACTTAAAATTAAAATGGTTATAAATAGTGACAATAACACCTCAATGCTTGATTAGTAGTAAAGAAAACATTATAAAATCAATGCATCCGAAATACAGGCATTACAACTTAGGTTTAACTTACCATCAGTTAATATTCTTTCAAAAAAGAAAAGTAGGGGTGGGAGAGGAGAAGATAGAAAACAGAAAATCCAGTAAACAGTGTTAATAGCTGGGATTACTTGGCAGCTCAAGAAGGTTATAGTTCATAAAACTGAAAACTTGCTCAGTGAGTTAAAATCACTAATTTGCATGACTAATCAATTTAATCAAAATGTAGTTACCAAAGGAATGAGAGATTGATTGCACTCTATTTCGGTATGCATAAGCTTGGTTTGTAGTGCTTGATTACTGTTGCTTCAGCAAATCGTAGTAAATTTGCTGTCCTTTGTATGCTTGATATTTTGAAATCTCGATGCAATGACCCGTATTCACAAAGTGTCTGGTAATTGCACTTTGTGAATATCTGCTTCCTATTAAACATAAGTTTCTTGGAATATGCTCTGAAAACCAGATAAAAGCCCTTCTTTCTGTCCTTCCAATGTACTTGCTCCCGCAAGTGCATGTCAATTTATAAACGCAGTTGGAGGTAAAATCAGTAGGATGCGTATCCAGTATGGATTGGCTTATAGAGCATGTGAAGCTGTATAGCGTTACGAGCTTACCTGCAGGGAAGCATCTTTTATTGTTCCCTTCAAATCTAATCTTTCTTTCTTTATTCAAACTTATGAAGAGAACCAAATGTATGCAATATTTATTTTACTTAAGTTTGCCTCTCAGATTACGTAATTTTCTAAACACTTATGCAATGTCACCGTGTTATATTTCCTACAAAAATTAAGCATATTGAATTATTTCAATTTCAAACTCGAATCTTAATTTGTTTTATTAGAATATCAGTAGTAGGCGTGGTATTAGACCTCAACTGATATATTAGGTTGGCTTCCGCAGGCGACTGGATCATAATGCCCCATGCAGATTTAATTAGATTTCATCCTGTGTTAGGTTATCTGCATAGATATTTTGTGTAGGTCAGTATAAAGGACCTCTGTTGAATAGCTTGAAAACAACTTCAGTAATTGAAATCTCAATTATCATAATCTCATTCGAGTTATGTGGGAGTTAAGAAACAGTGTTTCTCGAAAGCACCTGCATTTTGAAAACTGAGTTAGTATTATGTTATTTAGGCTTTCATTTGTAAAGTTATTCATCCACTTAGTATCTATAGGTTTGTACAGCTAGATAACCTATTCGGTTTCTATGCCTAAAAAGTATGGGTTGTAGTTTATGTTCACATTTATCATCAAGTTGGATGTGGCATTACAATAGCTTTTTAATTGTTATTGGACTGAACATTATTTACCTGGTGAATGTAGGCGTATATGCGGCCTACTGATGAATTTTTCTCTCATGAAATTTAAAACAGTCAACTGTCGGTTATTCATCTTGTAAGACGAAAGTAAAAAGATGTCGAAATTCACGTAGTGATGATGAAACGTAACTAGGTTGATTAGAATGTTAAATTTAAATCTTTATGAGGGTGGCTTATTATCTGTATAGATTTCCACCAATAAACTGTCACCTTTTTTGGTAATTAATGCGAATACGGGCAAGTTGATATAGGAATAGCATTGACGATAATCTTGC